ATCGCTTGCTTCACAAAAACATTTAGTGAGAATCCTGGAAAGGATATCCAAGCTGTGGCTATTGTCATTTCTTCCTCCGGGTTGAACATATGATCCCATTTGAGTGAACTCATGGGATATGACCATTGTCGTTGCGTTAAATAAAAAGCTGGTTTAGATAACAATTTGACGTAATCCTCCATGATTAAAACCTGTCTATTTCCCAACAATCCAATATTGCATTCACCATTGAGTTCACATTATTTCGGAATTATCTTTCGTAGTTTCTTGATTTCTAGCATTCCATAGAAAAACTTCCCAATTACATCATATTGTAAATTTTCCTTGTATATCATTTGTGTGACTTCCTCTTCTTCCCATAAAATTCTTGGTTCCCCATGAAGGTAAGAAATTGGCCTCATTGTTGCTGGTTTACTACTTAGTGGACTTGGTCGTAAAATAGCGATATAGTTTCTTGTCATTGATGGATTTGATTGGCTTTGACCAGTCTCCGGAGGAGGCTGGCCAAGGATGGTGGCCATGGTCACTGGTGAAACTTGGTAAAAGGGTAATTATGGTTTGCAGCAGCTAGGTTAGAGAGCGTTCTTTGAGCTTATTGATTTGAAATAAGTAATGAGCATGCCTTATTTTTCCTATATATAAGTGATTCCAACTCCCAAATTCGTTCATTCACTTCATTCTCTTCAAATTCACCAAAAAGAAGAATAAGTCTCCTCTCTCAAATATTTATCTCTCTAGAAAACTTGAAGAAAAAGGATTCGACCTAGGGTTCCAAATCAAGTCTCCATGCCTCCATTGAAGATAGACAATTGTCTTTGAGGTATGATAGTTATTCATGGAGTTCCCAAATTCTCCTATTTTATATATGGGTTCTCTTGATTGTTCATTTAAATGATTGAATTATGATCTCTTATGCATGAATTAATGAAATACTATGATTTTATGATATTTCCCCCTATGAACCTATATAATCCCCATGTTCTCAAATTATGATCATGTGATATGGGATTTTGATTATGAAGGAAGAGTTTTATGAAATCAAGCATCTATTGATCAAATTACGTGAAATTATGATGAAATCCATATCTAACCCATGTTTTCTAAATGTTGATGATTGAAAGTGAGTTTTGAACCTTGAAAGGTAAATTATGGAATTATGCAAATATTTTAAGAATGCTTTGAGAGTAAAGTATCAATGATGATGTTGTTGTTGTGTTGTTGTGTTGTTGAAAGGATTTTCTCATATACACATGAAAGCTTGATTTTGAAAGGTTTTCTCACATAATAAGGATTCTAATGTTGAAAGGTCTTCTCACCTAATTAAATCAAAGATTAAGAGCTATCCTAAAGAAACCTAGCTTGGATTGGTCATTGAATGATACCTCTCCATAGATAATGACTTAGCTTGTATTGGAAAGATGATGTGCCCTTCCATTGATAATAAGAACAAGTAAGAAATGACTATTCCGTGGGATTTATGCTTAGCACCAAGAGGATATTGAGATGAAATCTCTCCCGTTAGTAGAGGCGGGTTTTTAGAAGCAATCTCTTTATCCCTTACCTATGTACCTCCATAGAGTGATTGTCTAGATAGACATTAGCTAGTGGATCCACCTAAACTTGAAGTTCATGGTCCTTACCTTGGCAAGTAGGACAACTTTTTTCAGTGTGGGAGACGCCGGTGGATCATGTTATAGCTCACATGGTCTCTATGTCAGTTAAGGCTAATTCCAACAATAATAATGAACTAAGGTTATTTCAAGAAGTATCACATTTGTGTTCAAAGGCTTTAAAGATGTTAGCTTGCATTGACCATGTTTTATGACTTATGTTTTTTAACCCCTTTTATATCGTGTTTTAGCTTAGTCAATTGATGTCATGAAATATCTTTTTAGCATGATTTAAATGTTTTATGCATAACTATCATACTTGGTACATTGTTTTGTACTAACACATACTCTTGCCTACATTTCCAAAAATGTAGGGCCCGACAATCAGGTTTCTCATATTCGTGGCTAGTGGCTGATTACAAGGTTTCCAAGCTTTGGTGAGTCTTCGTGTTTCGAGGAAGGATTTTATTGTTTCAGTTTTCTTTCATATTTCCAGAGTTGTACATGATTTATGGGCTAGGCCCAATTTCATTCTATTGTACTAGATGGCTAATGAGACAAAGTGTTTAGACTTCCTCTTTACTCTTATAAAAACTTTGGACTTGAACTGTTGTCTTTACCTCCTCTGTTCTATTTCTTATGTTATGAATGCTAAGTGGCTTGTATGGGGCCTCTTGGGGTCCTATCCGCTATGTTACATCTAGGGGGTACCCTTGGGTCATGACAAACTTGATATTTAGAGCACATAGTTTAGAATGATCCTAGGATGTCTCATAAGCCACGTCGAGTAGAGTCTTGTTCATGAGTGTAAAGCGCGCCACATTTATGAATAAGAGGCTAAAAGATGATGAGGTAACTCCACTTCTTAATTACTCTAAAGTCATATCATAAAGTTTAACTGTATAAGGTCTCTCTCCTAATCCTTATCTGATACTCTACATGAGATGGCTACTTAAAGAGCTTATGCTAGAAGGAATGTAAAGGAGAATGCGGAACAAGAATCTCCTTTTAGAGCTCCTCAAGTTCCGGTCAATCCTTTGGCCGAGCGAGTGACTAATGCGGAGTTTAGGGCTGCTTTTCAAGTGCTGGCTAAAGTCGTGACAGCCCAAGCCAATAGGGAGGTTACGGTTACCGTGAAGCAAAAAATGGGTACATCGGTATCTAGATTAAGGGACTTCACTAGGATGAATCCTCCTGAGTTTTATGGTTCTAAGGTTAAGGAAGATCCTCAAGAGTTTATCGATGAGGTTTATAAGGTGTTGATGATCATGGGAGTGACGCCGGTGGAAAAGGCGGAGTTGGCCACTTATCAACTGATGAGTCAACAAATTGGACTCATTTAGGGTTATATTTTAATAGAAATTGTGTCCTTAATGTTTATTTTTTCTCATTATGTGATGAAAACCCTTAAGTTTCAGGTCTTTGATGTTTTAAGGAAAGCATAGACACTACATTGAAAAAAGTAATGAAAGGGCTGAAAAGAACGAAAAAATGAAGGCCTGAGGATCGCCGAGTCCACTTGGTGAGTCGCCGAAGGGTCTTAGTTATCCTTTTGTTCCAGTGCGCTAAGCCCTGAAGGAAAGGATCAAGTCGGCGAAAAAAGGGAGCAGTCGACGCATCGTCGAGAAGTTCTACGAAGCAGTACCATGTCGCCCAATGACATAGAGCACGGCGATGTTGAGGGCTGGTGCAAGACGGCGATGAACTACACCAAAGGGTCAATCACTGACTTGATCGGTGATTCCGACTAACGACGTCGAATGATCCACTGCAGCAAAAATCTGTGAAAACTATAAATACTAGTTAGAGTTGTAGTTTTAAGTGTGGAGCAATTATTATAATTTTCACTTAAAGTCGAACAATTATTATAATTTTCATATAGAATAGTACTTTTTAGTATTTTTGCTCTAAGTTTGAGAGAGATTTGAAGACTTGAACAAAAAGAGGGTTTCATCTCCAAAGATTTGGACTTGGTCACTTGGATTCTTCATTCTTGGCCTGTAACAAAACTTAAATCTTCATACCCATTTGAATGCAAGATCATTTAGGCATAAATTTCTATCTCTTGATGTGTCGCTAAAAACTCTAATTCTTGGGGGTGTGATTTAGAGAATATGGGTTAAGATAATTATTTGGTCTTGCTCGCTGATAGTTTAATCGTAGTTTAATTGTGATTTCGTTTGGTAGTTGTGGATGAATTTAATGAATTTGTAGGTGCAAATACATGTTTATTGATGTGTTTTTGGCTTGCTTGAGAGAGAGGTCGTAATACTAAGACCACTAGATTGATGGCCAGTGTGAGTGGGTTGACAGGAGGTTCAGCTAGAGAGAGTGAACCCTAGTCCCATGTCCACACACTTAGTTCTCGAGAGTGAGTGGGTTAAGGCGTAAGCTGGTCTTCATGCGGCAAGTGGGTGCCCGAGAGGAAAGCATTTGAAACGTGGTAAGTTGCTTCAGAGAGAGCTTATTCCCCTTAAAGTCTAGCCTAGTCACAATTACTCTATGAATTATCTATTGAAAGTATGTACCCAATAATCTAGCTTAACCCGTATTTCGTCACATCCCAATGATCCCCTCTCATTAGTTAGAAACCCTTGTTATTTAGTAATTTTTGCCTTACTTGTGACAACCCCCCCCCCCCCCATTGTTAATTGACACTCTTGTGTCCCCCTTTAATTTACAATGTTTGTAATCGTTAATGTCTTTAGCTACGACTAGTTAGAACTAAATTCTATTTTTCTATTAATTCTCAAAACCACTCTCTTGGGACGATCTCAACCCTTGGTTGGGTTACTAAACTATTGTACGATCGTAGACACTTGAATCGGAAGTTGTGTCTTGATTACGCAAATATCAAAATGACGTCGCTGCTGGGGAGTGGTGTTATTTGAGAATTTTTAGATTAGTAGAATTTTTGTTCTTCTTAGTTGTTGTTTACTCACTTAATCTTCAGTTTTGTTTTGAGTATTTGTGTGTCACAACAGGACATATAACAGCAAACGGGGAGAATAGCTGCCAAGCAGGTCACCCAGCGGGGGGTGCTTTTTATCGAGATGACATCGATGATGTTAATAGTGCTTATAACCCTGCCCATGTGGGCGAGATGGGTGCAATTTGCGTGCCACAAGCCGACGGAAACGGAATGTTCGAAGTTACTAGCGCAACACTCCAACTCATACATTCAAGAGGTTTATTTGGAGGGTTAGAGCATGAAGATCCATACGAACATATACGAAGCTTTGTGGAAGTGTGCACCCCTTTATCGTTCAAGAATCTATCTGAAGAATCCATACGGTTTCGCTTATTTCCATAATCATTGACCGGGGGGGAGCTACTAAATGGTTGGTTGAGCTTCCAAACAAATCCATCAAATCATGGTAGGAGCTGGTTATGGCCTTTCACGAAAGATTCTTTGCTCCTTCAAGAATAATGAAACTGAGAGATGACATTAAGAATTTCAAGCAACAGGAGGGTGAGCCAATTCACGAATCACGGAAAAGGTTCAAGAGATTTTTGTGTAAGTGCCCAACTTATGGACTACCATGTGAATTGTTACTCCAATACTTTTATCGTAGTTTGGACTCGGTTAATAAAGGAACCGTTGATCAATTGGTGCAGGAGGAATAATGGTACAATCATTTGAAGTAGCCTCATTCCTCCTAGATTGCATGACTAGAGTAAATCAAGCATGGTACACAAAAGATGACCAAGTTTTCTCACTATGCTTCAGATTAACGCAAGAACAACTCGATAAAGAAAGAGAGATGGACGAAAACATCAAAAAGATGTTTTCCCAAATAAAAGTGATACAAAAGCACATGAAGGGGACATATGGAGTATTTCGAATTGAGGAGGGTTCTTCTTTTGGCTACTTAAGACCGGGGGAGAACCAAGGTTGGAACTCCACAAGGTATAAGGAGGGTTTCCACCCACGCTATGAATAACGGGGTGGAAATCAAGGTTTGAATCATTATAGAAGTGAAGAACCAAGGTGATATTGCCACCATTGGGCTGAACAACATGACAATGAGGAAGACCATACTCAATTGAGTGAAAGCCCCAAATCAAAAGGGAGTGCAAGTAGTCCTGGGTTAAATGATTTATTGTCACACATACTTGATAAAGTTGAGGGCTCCGATGACTTGCTAAAAGGGATGAGAAATGACTTTTGTTCATTAAACAGTAAACTGAATTCTCATGCTGATGCAATCAAAACACCAGAAGGTCAATTGCGTCTATTATCAGCTCAATTAACATCCAGGACACTGATGAAAGATAATGAAAGAAGGCTGCTTGTAGTTTCCCGAATTGGAAAGATGGCAAAAGGGAATGTGATGTAGGATGAGCACCTTCGAGTGCAGGAAGAGAGCCAAGGTATTGAGGAACAAGAATTGTCTATTCCACAAAACCTTGCCAAAGAACCACAAGAGGATGCAGAGCAACATGTTCAAGTTCCAAAAGTCATGCACCCTTTACCCAAAATTCCTCCACCATTTCCTCAACGTTTGAAATCGAAGAAGGAAGATGAGAAGTTCAAAAATTTTTTGTCAGTATTCAAGAACCTATCAATTGATCTTCCTCTGGTGGAAGCATTGTCGGAAATGCTGGGATACGCCAAATTCATGAAAGAGTTGGTTACAAAGAAAAGGTGCTTGGACTATGAAACAATTGAGGTGCCCCATAGTTGCAGTGCAATTATGACAAATGAGTCAATTACAAAGAAAGCAGACCCTGGGAAATTCACAATCCTGTGCACAATTGGCAAGCTCCAACTCACTAAAGCTTTGTGCGATTTAGGAGAAAGCATTAACTTGATGCCTTATGCAATATACAAGCAACTTGGTTTGGGTGAACCAAAGGCAACCACAATGAGACTCCTTATGGCTGATCGATCAATCCAGCACCCAATGGGATACTCTATGACATATTGGTAAAAGTAGATCGGTTTATCTTTCTGGCTAATTTTGTGATTCTTGATTGTGAGATCGATGCTGAGATCCCCATTTGTTTACTGAGATCACCAAGTAATATTCATGTGGTGTCTACTGAGGATGTAATAGATGAGGCAATGGCAAGTGTGAGCCATTTAATGCGCAACAATGAACCTCTTGAATTTGTACTTGCCAATTATAATGAATTCGAAGTTAAGGCTATGAGAAAGTGGTAGCTCCTTATCAGGGTTAGGAGTATATTCAAGGAATCCAATCAAGTTGGATATCGACCTGACGAACAGAGCAAGTCCTCCTGCAAAGCCATCAACAGAAGACCACCGAATCTAGAGTTAAAAGCCCTACCCTCTCATATCAAATATGCCTTCTTAGGAGCCAATAATATGTTACCAATGTTTATCGCAGCCGATTTTCTTAAAAGGTAAGTGAAATTCCTCATTGAGGTACTACGGAAGCATATAAAAGCTATTGGATGGACAATAACTGATATAGTAGGAATTCCTCGTGGCATCTGTACTCACAAGATTCGGATCGACAGTGAATGTAAACAGAGTGTGGAGCATCAACAGAGATTGAACCCTCCAATGCAAGAGGTGGTGATAAAGGAGATCATTAAGTGGGTAGATGCGGGAGTAATCTACCCTATTGCAGATAGTAAGTGGGTAAGTCTGGTGCAATGTGTATCTAAAAAGAGAGGTACAACCGTAGTCCTAAATGCAAAAGGAGAACTTGTGCCGACTAGGCCAGTGACTGGGTGGAGAGTATGCATGGACTATCGAAAGCGTAACTCATGGACCGAGAAAGACCATTTTCCAATGCCTTTTATGGACTAGATTCTTGACTGGTTATCAGAAAGAGGGTGGTATTGTTTTTTGGATGGGTACTCCGGTTAAAATCAAATATCTATTGCGCCAGAAGACCAAGAGAAAACCACTTTTACTTGCCCTTATGGAACATTTGCATTCAAAAGGATGTCATTCAGGCTATGTAATGCCCTAGCAACATTTCATTGTTGCATGTTATCTATTTTTGCGGATATGGTAGAAGACTCTATGGAGGTATTCATGGACGACTTCTAAGTCGTAGGGGATATGTTTGAATAATGCTTGACACACTTAGGGCAGGTACTCCAAAGATGCGTGGAAACAAATCTGGTTCTGAATTGAGAGAAATGTCACTTTATGGTGAAAGAAGGTATCGTTCTTGGGCACAAGGTGTCGCAAAAGGGGGTGGAAGTTGACAAGGCAAAAAATAAAATCATTGAGAAATTACCCCCGCCGATTTCAGTGAAGGGTGTTCACAGCTTCTTGGGGCATGCAGGGTTCTACCGAAGGTTCATTAAAGACTTCTCAAAGATTGCACACCCATTATGCAAACTCTTAGAGAAGGAAGTGAAATTCTATTTTAATGATGCTTGCATGGATGCATTTCAATGTTTGAAAGAGAAACTAGTGTCCACCCCGATCATCATCAACCCTAATTTGTCCGAATCTTTTGAATTAATGTGTGATGCTAGCGGTATGGAATTGGAGGTCGTATTGGGAAAAACCACAATAAATTATTTCACCCAATTTATTACGCAAGCAAGAATCTAAATAGTGCCCAGAAAAATTATACGGTCACGGAATAGGAGTTGCTTGTAGTGGTCTATGCATTTGAAAAGTTCCAGGCATACTTGCTAGGCACCAAAGTAATCGTACATACTGATCATGCTGCACTCTGTTTCTTGATGACAAAGAAAGATGCAAAACCAAGATTGATAAGGTGGGTGCTACTATTACAAGAATTCAATTTTGAGGTAAAAGATCGAAAAGGATGCAAAAATTAGGTGGCCGCTCCTTCTCAAGGTTGGAGGTAAGGGAAAATGCTGAGCATGAGGTCGACATAGACAACTCCTTTCCCGATGAACAAGAGTTTGCAATATCTCTCAAACATACACCATGGTATGCAGATTTTGCAAATTACATTGTGTGTGGGCTGATACAGGATAAGTTGACCTTTTACTAGCATGTTCGATGTTAAAAAGTACTTTTGTGATGAACCATACTTGTTTCGAGAGTGTGCTAACCATGTCATTAGAAGGTATGTTCCGGAAGAAGAAACGGTAGAAATTCTCCATGCTTCTCATACATCTCCAGTGGGAGGTCACCATGGTGGTATTCGCACCGCCGCTAAAGTTCTCTAGATTTGATATTACTGGCCGTCCCTCTACAAAGATGCATATGAGTTTGCAAAGAAATGCTCTCAATGTCAACAACAAGGCAGGAGTGTCTAGAAGACATGAATTACCTCTCAATCCTATTTTAGAGGTTGAGCTATTCGATGTATGGGGGATCGATTTCATGGGCCCATTTGTGAGCTCATTTGGAAATAAATATATCTTGGTGGCTGTACATTATGTTTCCAAATGGGTGGAAGCCATCACATTTCCAAACAACAAAGGAAAAAGTGTTGTCCAATTTCTGAAACGATACCTCTTCGCAAGATTTGGCACTCCGAGGGCAATCCTTAGCGATGAGGGGTCCCACTTTTGCAATAGGTGGTTTTCAATGGCACTGAGCAAATATGGGGTGAAACACAAAGTAGCAACCCCATATCATCCCCAAACAAGTGGCCAAGTCGAAGTGTCAAATCGGGAAATCAAAAGCATTTTGGCAAAGAGAGTTAATGCCAACAGAACTCACTAGTCTAGGAAACTCGATTCTGCACTATGGGCATATCAGACCCCTTACAAAACACCTATTGGTATGTCTCCATATCAGTTGGTTTATGGTAAGGTTTGCCATTTGCCCGTCGAGTTAGAACACAAAACATTGTGGGCATTGCAACCTTTAAATTTGGCCTTGGCAAAAACTTCAAGGGAGAGGGTAGAGTAGTTAAACGAACTGGATGAATTTAGACTCAAATCTTATGAAAGTTCAGCCATTTACAAAGAGAAGATGAAAAAAATGGCATGATGCTCAGATACTCAAGTGGGACTTCAATGTAGGAGATTGGGTTTCGTTATACAACTCTCGACTTAGACTTTTTCCCGGAAAGCTCAAATCCAAATGGTCTGGACCTTTTAGAGTAATGCGAGTGTTCACCAATGGTGCATAGAAGTTGAAGATTAGGAAGACCCCCATTTAAAGTAAATGGTCAACGTCTAAAATTATATTTTGGGGATTGTCAAGAGATTTCTTTGGTTGAGGTGGTGTATTTGGAAGACGCCTGCAGGCGTTGTTGCGTCGTGCCGCGACGTTAACTAAGGCGCTGATTGGGAGGCAACCCAAAACCCCTTTCATAAATAAAAAAATAATGGTGTGTTGTTTGTACAGGCAAAAGTATGAGAAGTGTTCGAAAAAGTGAGGGATGACAAGCAATAGATCCAGTCAGCGAGTTGCCAAAGGGGTCGACGAATTTGACCTTGTCCGCCATTTGACTCAAGACATCGTCAATATTGAAGTGTGTAAAACTCGGCGAGCTTTGGAAGTTATTGGCGAGTCGCCAACCATGTCGGCAATTGCGATAGAAACCGCCATTTTGACTCCCCCTAAACCAGAGGTCCTATAAATTTCGGTGAAAAAAGCTAAATAGTTGGCATTCCGCCGAGTGAGTAGGCGAGCTTGACTAATGTCGCCGAATGGGCAAAAACGGTTTAAATGTTTCAACTTCATTCACTCTCCCTCACTTTTTATCTGTCCAAACTCACACCCGCACGCTAGTTCCTATTTTGCATTTTTAGAATATTTTTTAGTGTTGATTTGTGCTCGGAGATGGATTACATTGCCGCCTAGCATTTCAATCTTCTTTTAATCGGCACCAAAGGTTGGTTCCCATGCCCTAAGCTTCTTGTATTGAAATTTGTACTCAAATGAAATGGCATTAGGATATTCTGTGTTAATTGCATTTGAGGAAGAATTGCTTTTATTGGTGAGGTGAGGCTCACTTTTTGTGTGCTACTTTTGTTCGTGTTTTGTGTATAGATTTGGGTCGTTCCTATTTTTAAATTTTTGTTAAATACTTCTTTTTGTGTATGTTTGAGCTTATGGCTCCTTTTATTTTAAATTGCAAAATGATTTTTAACCATTCCGAATTTTTATCAATTTTTTGAACATTTTTGCCACCTCTCATGTGTTGAATGTGGCTGTTCTTTTGAAAAAAAATTGAGTCTCGGTTCCAATCAATACCGATGACTTGAATAGTGCTCTCAATCGAACGAACATGAATGCGCAGCTACGATGAGGCCAAATGAAGTTTCATAGACAATATCTGAACTCTTTGCATCTCTTTATGACTAGCCTATTATCGAATTGAGTCTCTTGTGATGACCATTGCACATTGCGAAAGTGTGGAGTATTGTTTGACTTATAGTGTCAATGCTTAGTGTGATGAGCTTACCTGTGAACTATATATGATAGATCCTAGAATTTGCCCCGTTGGTCCGGTCAACTGAGTGATGCTATCTCTTGATATGATCTTAGGCAACTTCTACGAGTGTAAGACAATTTGACGTATACCTCTTTTGTGACCTACCTTGTGAGCGTGTGATTCTCTCTTGAACACCTTTTGAGCCTTACCCTTCTTTGAAAGAAACTTGATGAAAGCAATGAACTTTCTTTATCCATCACCCATAATCCTCATGAAGTTGTGGTTAGTGGAATAGCCAACTTAGGCCAAAAGCCTAAGTTTGGGGTGTGGTGAAAAGATAGGGGAAAGTCGAGAAGTGCAAGGAAAGTCTCCTCTTACCCATGGTTTTGAGAAAAAATTGGAACCCCTCCATATAAAAATAGAAAAGAAGAAAAGACAGAAAAGAAAAAGAAAAAGAATGAAAAAGAAAGTTGTGGAATAAAGTACAAAAGAGATGGGGTTCCCAAACAATTCATGGAAAGTGAATAATAGGATGACTTATGAGCACTAAAGAGAATGATGAAGGAAAATGAAAGGAAGTGTTGTGAGCACCACATTTCATGAGGATGAAAGTCACTGAGCCTAAATGACCATAC